TAGTATATAATCTACATCTAAAATAAATTAAATAAATTACATTACTGATTATTCAGTGTTTATCATAAAATAATATTTTATTTTTTTTAAATTTCACGTACCCCCTAAGATGTCTTCGCGTACCCCCAGATATAATTTCTCTTCAACTTTGTACCCCCAAAGTTGTTGGTGTATAATTCAAGTTATACGTAGTATATAATCTACATCTAAAATAAATTAAATAAATTACATTACTGATTATTCAGTGTTTATCATAAATATTTAAAAAAAAAAAAATTCACGTACCCCCGGGGGTACGCGTACCCCAGGTTGAACACCACTGGTATAGACCATTTGTTTCCTGTCTTCTTCCTGCATCATCCACTCAGTTCTCAGTTTTGTGCCCGGAAGTGTCGTCTCTTGCGCGTCAGGTATTATGTAGGGCAGTGGATAAGTTGCCATGGCAATGACTGTTAAAACACTACACTGCCTGAAGTTCCATTTAACTCGCGACTTGGCAAATTGCAACAACAAAACAAAAATTTATTGAAGTAAAGTGAAATTATGAAACCAGTTTTAGGGTACGGCTTTGTATGACGAATGAGAAGTTGACAAATTGAATTTCTTAAAACCTCTCCAATTGAATCAATCAACAATTGAACTATTCACTGCGCACGGATAAATGAGTTGACAACGGCAAGTTTTAAGACGGTATATCGAATTTAATGATTACTTATCAGGAAGAGGATTACTGAAAGTGACTTTAACTTAGGTGACTAGGAATGGAGAAATTGTGTTAGAAGAAAGGACAAAGAATGTTCTGCAAATACTTTCTCTTACCTACTACATCTGTTAACGGAAGTAATTTTAATAAACCATTAATGGATTCATTCATACACGCATTGACGTCTGGAAATATAGAAGCTTTTAACACAGACGGCTGTGGGTTCTGTTGTCGCGTGGTTCAGTTTGTGGTTACCGATGTCCCACTGACGTTAACCATGTCCGGGACTGCTCTGCGTCGCGAGACCTTCACCAAAGTTCGAAGCACCCAATATCTGATATCACAGATGCCTTAACTAGGAATGTCGCCTCATATATTTCATACGTTCTTCAAATAGATTTGAGTTTAAGTGTAGATTGGAAATTGGGGTAGTATCGCGTGGTCTACACATTAAGCCTGCTTTCTTATCCTGGATGAACTCTGAAAGCCAAGTTTTTTGATGAGTTCTGCCAAATGTACTTTTTTAGTGACTTTATTTGATTAACCTCAACTCACCTCATGAAATTATAAGGTTGTGAACTACCCTAGGAAACATTACTCCGACAGCCACGAGAAATACACGTCTTTCGTTGGTTTCCTTGTATTTGGACCAGTTGCTTTTCAAAATGTTGTATAGTGATGATGATGATACGGAATATCTGTAAATTAATCTGTCTGTCAGTTCAAGAGTAGGTTTGTTTCCCGCGAAAATTGAAAATATGTGTACATAGATCATCGGTAAAGTTCATAACCCGCTTCTGAATGTTTTACTTCTTTCCAGGAGTTCTAAACATCGATGAAAGTTCTTGTCGAGTTGCTACATCACTGTCTCTAATGCCTTTAACTTGAGGTCTTCTTTTTTTCTATAGTAAAGTTAATTTCTGGGAGATGTGGTTACTTCGATTTTCTGTGACTCTGTAGTGCTGAGAGCTTTTCATCACACTGATAACTTCGGAATTTAATTAGTACGAGGTGCGATCGGAAAGTTTCAAGACTGTGTCAATAGCGGGCGAACCGGATGTAGTACGAGCTTCTGCCGCTAGGGGGTGCGGTCTACATTCATAGTGAATCAGTGTGCCAGCCGGCATCATCGAATTAGCATTTGTTTCTTAGTTACGGGCGTTTTGGTAGTGCATTACACCGACCCTCCTGCGATTTCGGAATGGCGCGTGTGCATCAAATTTTGCCAAAGACTCGCCAAAACGGCTACGGAAACCTATGAAATCCTAAAGCAAGCATTTGGGGAGTCCGCAATGGGTCGTGCACAAACGTTTGTGTGGCATTCACGTTTTAAAAATGACCGCTTTTGTCAGGAGCTCAAAGATCTTGCCGGATCGCCGGATTTAGCTCCGTGTGCCTTCTTCCTCTTCCCAAAGATGAAAATTCAGCTAAAGGGAAGGAGATTTGAGACGATAGAAGAGATTCAGGCAGAATCGCAGATGGTGCTTGACAGGCTGACAAAGAAAGATTTCCAGGATTGGCAGCGGCGCTGGGATCGTTGTGTTTACTCCGAGGGGAACTACTTCGAGGGTGATGGATGAATTTAATACCTGAGATAAGTGTACGGGGTTTTATACGCGCAGTCTAAAACTTTCCGATCGCACCTCGTATTTCCAGCCACCACTTCACACTCGCTTGGCTAATTTACTCAAAGTGTTCACTCGTTTCCCTTACGGTTTTATTTATTGGATTATGAAATTCATATGAGATAAACTTGTGTGACTATTTCAAACAGCACGTTTATCAACTTTCAAATCTCCCTTAGGCCTAGCGGTTAAGAGATGAAATATAGGCCCTGAGACACATCTTTTCAATATACGTTCATTTTCTGTATTTTATCGAAAGAATGCATAATGAACTGTAATAGCTTAATATATATTCATCGCTTTTGTATACAATATCTGAAAAATGTTTGCTGAAAGTTTGGTAATTTTGTTCAAAACATCAGTTTGACGTTCCTTAAGTATTCCGTTGTATGTTCTGGAATAAGATGACGTAATGTATACCATCAAATGGTATCACGTTGAAAAACTAATTGCTTATCAGGAGTTTATATACAGCGTCCAGAAGGTTTAGAAAAAATGTCAGTAACTGGGCTTGTTTTCGGTTGTCGCTAACTAATAACTTTAGAATTATGAGGACGTATTCAGATATTTATATCTGCAGTAAATGGACATCAGATTCAGTGAATTATGGAAATGAGCACGCCATTAGACTGCGTACTATTTAAAACAAATAGACCTACGGTTTGGAACGGTCGACTAGTTAAAATGTCTTGTGATTGAAAATAGTAATATCGTGCATAACAGTCGGATAATCTGAAGGGAAGATACTACAAGGAAGATCTGAGGGAACATGGAGGATAATATTAAAGCGGGTATCAAAGAAATATATTTTAAAGTTGTGGGTTTAATTTATCTGGTTCAGGATGAGATCCAGTAGCGAGCTGTTGTAAGAATGATAACGAATTTTCGTTTTTTTTTTAAAAAAAATGGCAAAATATTTTTTGACAGACTGAGCAACTGCTAATTTTTGAAGAAGAAACATCGTTCTATGGAGTTAGTTCGTAACCAATTTGGCAAAACATCCGCTCCGAATGGGAATGTGGCGTTTGAATGACATGCGCATAATGTATGTTCATTGTAAACCTTGACTTCACGGGATGAGGGGGGACTGTAATTTTCTAAATGTTCTATGCAGTTGTTCTAGAACGTGAAATAAATTCTTTTATTGCTGGTATTACTCAGAGTGTTATAACCCTGCCCCTATCTCCCGTGGGGTTACTTAAATTCGGGAATAAAACCGGCCACTAAGAGGCAGCCATTACTAGTCAAATTATACTGAGTCACCACCCCTCCACCCCTCCACCGTTACTTAAAGTTCTTTGGCCTAAAATCTGGAAACAAAATTAAACCTTTAATTCCAACATTCCTTATCTCGTTGTATTTGTACCGACACTCAACAGAGTCTGGTAGGCTATATGAATTTTATGAGGGATTTGATGTTATTCCACGTTAAAAGTTTGGAAATTTTATACTACAGGGTATTCGTGGTCTGTAAAATGCATGGCGTTTTACTCATCTCAGGGAGAGCGTTTTTTTTTGTATCCCGAATTCAGACATAAACACACAGTTTTTATTACAGGTTTTAGTACTGAAAATTGTAGTACGTGGTTCGTCCGCCGTGTGGCACTGTTGTAGACCTTTGATGCTGCGTGGTGTAAGGAAATTACGAACTGCGCTGGCCTCCATCATTGTACATTCTTCAGTTAAATCTCTTATGTAACTACGTAGTACAGTTTTAGTAGAAGCAGCAGATCGTAACAACAGTCTTGTAAGAGGAGGAAGGAAATAAAATGAAAGATCTTATGCTGGAAGAAGTTAAAGAAATACGAACAGTAAATCAGTAACAGATGGTTTCTCCTTCAACCTTGACTTGAAACATAACCTTACCTGCAGCTTTGTGAGAACAAATACAGTAGTTGGTGTGAATTATACTGCCCTTAGGTAATTACAGAGGAATTCCGTATTAAATAAAACGATGTCAGTGATAATTATTCGGTGTTACGTGACGACGTGACAATACATAACGTGTCTATAACACCAAACCCGTCATCTTTCATCACACCACTCATTCTATTCAAATGTAAACCACAAGACTCGTATTTGTCTGTATATTGTGTTGAACCTCGAGATCTTTACGTCTTGTCTGCTCGACTAGGATCGACCTTTAAACTGTGTAACAAGGACCTAACCTTAAATGACATCATTACAAGCCACTCGGGATTACTGTCTTCCTTCGGGATCGGACAATCCCCCGGGATACAAGAGTAGTTGTTAAATATTTGTTCCGATATTTTTAAATCTTGGAAACTGTTATAAGACGCTATGTAGATAAATTAGGTCAGTGTTTAACTATTTGCTGCCTCCATCATCAGGACGAGGAATGACTCATCGCCCGGATCTATGAGACTATACGGCGCTGTAACCTAGAAGACAGTCATCTTTTGAATGTTTAAATGTTATTTTGAAGAGTTTTTGCTTCAAAGAGTTGCAGGAATTATCATGAGGTCACACATTTTATTGCTTGTTATATGAAATTCGACCATTTTGATTCTGTCGTAGGGGAAGAGGAGATGTGAACCTCGGAGTGCCTCCGGCGGGACTTGACTCTTGAGTTGACGGTCAGCTGGACTGCGTTTCCCACGGATGATGACGGTAAAGATATCTGAAATTTATTTTATCTATTTTACTCATATTCCCCAAATTTATAACCTTGAATAGTATGATCTCTTAACAATTAAGCTTCGTGTTTAGATGTTTGTTTAAGGCTATTCTACATTATATCCCGAAAATGTAACTTGTCTGCTTCTCTGAAATATTTAAAAATTTTAAATATGAAGATTGTATGTTATATACAGGTGTCCCGCAATAGGATGTCCATAGTTTAACTACGTAATCCTGGGATCATTTTGAGTAGAAAAGTTCTAATTAACGATCCGAAACGATTTGTCAAGAAAATCAGAAATATAATTTTATTTCATTTTTAATGAGATGATAATGTTGCGTCATATTGTGATGATTATAATTGTTTAATTTTAACCGTCTAATCATAATAAAATATTTTATTAAATATTAAAATATTACTACTACAACTAACATTCAATATTTAAAATATATTAAAATATGTCGTGAAAAAGATGATGTTCTAATTGTAAATCGAACATTTCGATAGAAAGAGCATCATTTTAATATATTTTAAATATTTTAAATATTAAATGTTAATTGTAGTAATAATATTTTAATATTTAATAAAATATTTTATTGTGATTAGACGGTTAAAATTAAACAATTCATTTTTAATGTTTGTAATTTAATCACAATTTCGCTTCCAGGAATACGTAGCACTACATTCTGAATTTACTATCACATTTGTGCTTCGAGATGGCCACCATAATTGTCGAGGCATCTTTGAGCCCTTTCTGTAAGAGGATTGATGGCCCTCGTTACAGCATCCTGATCATTTTTGATGTAATCACCGCACTCCATTATTTTCGCCACAAGCTGGGCCCCTTGTGTTTGACTTAACAGCGTACAGAAGAGATTTCATGTTCCAAATCGGCAATTACGTAACCAGAGCACGGCAAACGCTAATTCTCACTTTGTTGACAAACCGTCGTGGATCGGACCCATGTTAATTAGAACTTTTCTACTCAACATGATCCCAGGATCACGTAGTTAAGCTATGGACACTCTGTATAGGCAACTGGGGCTCCAGAATCATTAGTATTTGTCACTAATTTAAATACCTTGGCCGTTTAACAGCGTCGCGTCGCCATATCCGCCTTGCTCGACTTTAGCTAGACACTTTACTGACGGTGACCTCGCAAGGAAAGAATTACATCGTTCTAGCTGTATCATTCCTCTTGTCTCAGGGTGCATAGGTCGGACAGGGATGGTCAATATCGGTGTCGTTCGTCCGGATTTCTTTAACACATGGATTCAGTATGTACGTGTATTTCACCGAGGTACTGCTCAAGTATAATTTACAATAATACATAGCTTCGTTCTCTCTTTTATTCTCTCTCTAACTGATTAGTTTTCTCTTTATCCAGACAATGCATTCTTAAATCCCATTTAATATTAATTACTGGCTAGTATTCACTTAGTATTCCAATTACTTGAGACAATATCTGGCGTAAAAGACTTCTTTCGTTCGTCTCAGCTGACGTACTTCAGCTATATTTTCCGTGACCTAGGACGATAGAGTAAAATGCCAATAATTTTCCTGATAATTGACTTATCTCTTAAATTCCTCATGATCTGTCATAAATGTCTTGTGGTTTAAATGCAGTACTGTATTTCAAGGTATTACCTCTGATTCCCAGTTTTGTTTAATCGGTCTCACTTAACTGCTCTGGGTCACATCGTCTACAACACGTGACCTGAGTCGCTCCATGCCAATTTTCTAGTTTGCTCGTCTAACTTGTATTTTGTCATTTTATAATTTCTGCCTACTATTAATCTCGTTTCTTTTCGTCTTGGTACTATAACAGCAATCTTTTATATATTGATGGCGCCCTGAGCTTTGCGCATTGCATCTTTTAAGGAAGAAACCCAGGAACTTGGGACCGAATCATGGCGATATAACCACTCATATACAGTAAATAAAATAAGAGTACCTAATTTAAAAAAAAGTAGTCTTGTCTTTCTTTCTATTTCGTCAGTTTTGGAAAAATATGCACGTAACATTGTTTAAATTAAGTGATTCTTTATATTTCTCTTTGGGTTAAAACTGAATAGTCTAAACCAGTGGTATTCAACCTTTTTTGTTCTCGTACCCCCAGATATAATTTCTCTTCAACTTTGTACTCCCAGAGTTGTTGGTGTATAATTCAAGTTATACATAGTATATAATCTACATCTAAAATAATTAAATAAATTACATTACTGATTATTCAGTGTTTATCATAAAATAATATATTTTTTTTAAATTTCACGTACCCCCTAAGATGTCTTCGCGTACCCCAGGTTGAATACCACTGGTCTAAACTACCGAAATCGCGTTAAATAAACCGTAAATAAAGAAATAAGTATGTGTATACGTGACAGAATAACTAAAAAATATGGCCCCCATACTTTTAATATTTCAAAAATTTACCTTGGTGTTCGAACTAGTGACCTGTGAAGCATTCGCTTTGACCTTGAGAAGCTACGTCGCTGGATGATCAGTGGTTACAGCTGTTTTAACAAAACCGTGTTCAAGCACGTCCAAGTTTAAGCCGAGTGAACACGTTTAGTATTCATGAATTCAACTGGGCTGGGTTTTACTGTGCCTGCCAAGTGTAGCATGAATCGAGTATAACGCGCGTCTCGTATTTACACGGTCTGTGAAGTAAGCGTTGCGTTCGCAGTCTGCTTGTTCAATGTTTCCGTCATTGTACTACCCTGGTTAGCACGCTGTTCCGTAGACGAGGCTTATAGAAGAAGTATATCCATGCATGTCTCTCCTGTGACCAGTTTTTCTCTCCCACGAGAAGGTAATCAAAGCTTAATAGAACGTTGTCTGTTTATCTTTTAATCTTGAAATAATTTCACTTAAGAACTTTGAATATATCATTTTATATTTCTCAAAAAATCCTGAGAACTTCAAATAGTTCCAGGAATGGTTAGTTCATAGTTGTTTATTGTAATAATAAGTGGCGTGACGTGAGATTGGTGTGAATGGTAAAGAGATAAGGATTCGGAAGGAGACGATCTCGCCTATTTTAAGAAAATATTAGACGGGTTATGAGGTAAATCGATTACGATCTGAACAGGGATCCTCAACATTAGGTAGTTATTTCTGCATCACTCTGCTGGATAAATTACAGGAACTCTTTCTTATTTTCTATACAAGTCAGTGCCACGGTGGTCTAGCGGTTAGAAGGCTGGCCTTGTAATCCTGGGGGTCTCGGGTTCGATTCCCGGCGGTGCCCGAATTTATAACTTTTGTTGGGCAAGGCCGTGGTCTAGGCAACACGGAGTTTTCCTCCGGGGGCTTCCCCGGTTTCTCCGTGGCATCCCAACAATTACTCCATTCACACACAGAAGAAGGCAATGGCAAACCACTTCTGGATCATCTGCCAAGAACGTATATGAACAGATCCCAATCCGAGAAAAGGATGGAAGGATCCTGTTCATATGGACCTGTCGGCAGACAGAACACTACAAATAAAAAAAAATACAAGTCAGTCCGTTCACCGATCTGCGCGAAACTTGGTTTTTAAGTTTAGTGAATTTAATTCGCTGTTTCGCGCGGCGCTGACTTGGAGAATGTCTGGTTTAGAACGAGGGACCAACTTTCACTGCAGACTTAGGTTAACAATTCATACTCATTAATTTGTATTCCTATAACACAAATGTTTCGCGAGTATGTTTATGCTTTATATGAAGATTTCTTCATCAATATATCGTTATAATCTACTTAAATTGTGATGCGTTAAGCTAATATTATTCATAGCATAATTTGAATTTCACTTGTAACGTATGTTACTATTTTGCTTTTAAACTTTAGACCCTTGAACGTTCTTCCTTAATAAGTCTTAAATTTAATTTCATGGTTGACTGCCTTTTGGACAGAGGGATTACGTTAGGTCAGATTATGAAAACAGGGACGAGCGAAGTTTATATACAGTAGCAATTTATTTTGCGTGTTTAATATTACGCTGAGTAATCGATAAAATATACACCACTATAATTATATCTGTTATTTTATATGGGTATAAATATTGGTCTGTCATTCTAAGAGAACATGACTTAAGTACCTTAAAACATTTTATGCAGTGCAGTTCTATGTAGAATAATTACATAAACCAAACACCTTTACGTACTGTTTACTTTACTAACAAACAGAAGCTTCCTTATACTCACAGAATCATCTTAACAATTCAGTGATTATATAGTCAGTATAGTGTATACAGGAGGTTGCTTTGTGTAATCATAATTGTACACCTGAAGAATGTTTTTTTTTACGAAGTTCTGAGGAGAATATTTCGACCTAAGAAAGATAATTAATAATACAGTTAACACGTCTGTTTTCTGGGTTGTAGTGCCGTTAGCCTGCTAGAAGTTTACAGACGTTTCAGAGGTCCTTGCTGTCTTTATCATCAGGGCGATGAGTCACTTCTCGCCCTGATGATGGAGGCTGGTTTTCAGCTAAAATTCCACTCGCCCGCCCCAAGTCGCAGAGGTCTTCCATTCGATTCCAGCCCTTATTAGTTTAACTCACAGACGAAGTTCCTTTCTTAAAGGACAAATTTCTTGACAGGAATGTCTTCCCATCCATAGCACCTATCAAGGCTTTCAGCCAGAAAAACAATCCGTTGGCGTAAGTACATCCCCAGTTAGAGTTCATAAGGCTCTGTTTACCAATTACAGCTCTGCGTTTCTTAGGAAGGAATTGTTTAACCTCGCATAAGACGACGCCTTGTGCCTGCCAAAGACATTGTCCTTAGTTAGCTTTTTTGTTTGTTGGCGTTCCAGTGAATGGTATACAGGAGTATTTTAAGAGAGAAAGGTCATTTTGCGCTAAGCGTAGAACTCTGCCCTTAGTTTTAAATTTATTTGCTTTCCCGAAATATTTACCCTGAAGATGGAAATTGCAGTATTTTCCGAAACGTTGGAAAGTTTCGACATTCGAAGCGGCTTATCCCGAAAACCTGAAGTTACACATTTGC